CTCCCTCTCCCACTCCCCCTGCTTGTGTTCCCTCTCTCGCTGTGTCTCTCTCTGTCAAATAAATAAATAAAATCTTTAAAAAAAAAAAATAATAAAGTAAAACATTCCTACTGTAAACACAAACTGTAAGATCAGAAGTGATCACTCTCCTTTCTATTCCTACTGTCCTTTTAAGAGTTTGGTGAGTATTTATGCAATCAAGTATTTTAATTAAATGTACTAAGGCTGACTGCTTTTCAACAACAGCCTAAGTAGGGAAAAATAAAAAAACCAAAACCCACAACAGTAGCACGTAAAAGACAAAGATACAACTGCAAACCCCAATACCTCTGTCTGGCTCTTCAATCCTTTCCTCAACTTCTCCAGGAGTGAACGATGAATGATTTCCCTATATTCTTTCTCTGTGACGTTCAGGGCAGCTAGTTTTTTGATGATACTCATCAGGCACATGCTGGCATTATCACTTAAAGACATGTCTCCTAACTGGAAACAGGAGAAGAAACAAAACAAAACAAATTATTCTGTGTCATAACTATAACATGGAATATTATTTCCCAATGGAAAAGTTTACAAAATGTTACCACTCCTCTACGTGAAGATCCCTCCTAAGAAATGGCCCCCAAGTACATCATACCTAAAGAAGAACCAAATGTAGGGCTGTGAGGAATATGCAGGTATACCTCAGGGATATTGTGAGTTTGGTTCCAAACCATGACAGCAAAGTGAAAATCATAATAAAGTGAAATAAATAAATGAATTTTTTGGTCTCCCAGTGCATGTAAAAGTTATGTTTACACTATACTGTAGTCTTTTAAGTGTGTAAAAGCATTATGTCTAAAAAAACAAGGTACATACCTTAATTAAAAAACACTTACCATGATCTGTGATTTCAGTGCATTATAATCACTGATCACAGATCATCGTGACAAATATAATCATAATGAAAAAGTTTGAAATACTGTGAGAATCAACACAACGTGACACAGAGATATAAAATAAGCAAATGCTGTTGGAAAAATGGCACTGATAAGACTTGTTCAAAGCAGGGTTGCCACAAACCTTTGTTAAAAAAAAAAGAAAAAAAAATAACCCAAAACCCAAAAAACACAGTATCTGCAAAGCATGATAAAATGAGGTATGCCTGTAGTAAATAACTTTGAAAAACCATGCTTATTGAGAAGTGACACTCTGATTTGGAAAATACGGTGAAATAGACTTTTTGATTAGTTTTATTTCTCAAACAGAATGAAAGGTTCACTAAAGCCAGTTTTCAATATTCAGTGTAATGTGTAACTGAAAATGACAGATCTGGATGGTATAATTCTGGTTAGTTGTGCTCCAGTTCCTGGTTTGAACAAGGTAGGTAGTGACGTGGAGAAAGAAGTATTGTCAATTCAGCCAACCAGGCAGTGATTCTTTGTGCTAGAATTTGACATAAAATATGAAGAATTAGCCCCAAATGGGGAGATTACTTTTTCATATATTACATAATCATTAATATCAGATGAATAATTATAAAACGCCACAAAGAGATTACTGATGCCATTACATGGTTAACTATAAATCAAGGGTTTCATTCTCCCCAGTTTTGGGTTTTAATTCAGTTCAGCAACATGGTACTTAATACAGTCCAAACCCTTTGTATTTCTGTATCAATAAAAGTAATATAATATATATATTATATATTACATATATATAATATAGTGACAAAACTTCAACAAAAAAGATATAATTGAAATACTATAAAATTCACCCTTTTAAAGTGTACAATTCAATGGTTTTTAGTATATTCACAAGGTTGTTCAACCACTACCACTATCTAACTTCAGAACATTTTCATCACCCCCAAAATAAAACCCTGTATCAATCAGAAGTCCTTCTCCCGGTTCCCATTCCTCCCTCACCTGGCAGCCCTAGTTAACTACTAATTTACTTCCTGTCTCTATAAATTTTCCTATTCTAATACACAGCTTATGGATTTTTCAAAGTGCTTCCACATGTATTATTTTATTCAAAATATTTGTCTTTTAAATCACGACAGTAACAATATGGTCTTCACCAAACAAAACAGTCCTCAGCTAAAAGAAATGTTACACAAAAATCTTTGTCTTGCTCAAAATACAAATTAAGAAATCAGGTCATGTAGTTGTATTATCAAAACAATGAAAAACAATCCATAAATTTTTGCTATAAAAACCTACCTCCATATTATAGAAACAATTATGCATAACTGGAACTAGGTAGTTAACATCCACAGTTTGCATCTCTTTAATATAAGAGGTGATGGTCTGGAATGTTGAGAAGCGAACATCAAAGTTGATATCATCAAGATGTCTTTGATCAAAGGCGTTAAGCTACAAGAAATGAAAACATTGAAACACTGTGAAACACTGAAAACAGAGATGAAGGTATATAAATCTTAAATAAACAAAAATGATAATACTTTTGAAGCAAAAGAGAAATATAAGACTTTCTCTCTTACCTTGACAACATCAGTAATATATTTTAATCCACTCTCAAAATCAGAAAGAGTCTAGAAGGAATGAAAACAGTATATTATTATTGAATAAAACCTTAACTTTTCTGCCCTCCTCCCTTCAACTCCCCCTTTCCACTCAAATTTATATGAAACATCATGTTGACACCAAGAAAGCTGTTAAGATGTGTTACATGTCATAGTTATCTTTTTAAAAAAAGGGTGGTTTGGGGGTAGAAATGAGTATTACAGACCTGGAAAACTGTACAAAGCAATTGTCTTGACAACTTATTCTTAATAACCGAAAAGAGTTTTGCTAGAGGCTTGAGGAAGCTTGTAGGCTCCAGACAATGTTTCAACAGGTTTTGCACTGTCACCAAAATATCAACCTCTGTATCCTTAAGAAGAAATATTAAGAGAAATCACATTTCAGTAATTTAGAAAACTGGTCAACTTGGCTTTAATATTACAGCACAAAAAACAAATAATTATCAATAAGAAGCAGAAGTAGTAATTAGAAAAGTTATTTCACAGGCCTTTAAAAGTTCTCAGCATTTTAACTTAACATAAAATCCACAATGATATCCATTAACAGTTTCTTCCTTTAATTCTAATAGAAAAAGACACATGGTTTTGGAACATAATTTCTTCTATGTCTAGTTCAAAAAGGGCCAAGAAAAATGAGCTTGTTGAAGAAAAATACACACTTCTGGTTGTCTACAGATCTGTGGTCTTCTCTACTGAATTACTATGTGGTAAGAGATGTTCAGTATAGCTACTAAGGTCTTGTTGAGTTTGAGCCATGGGAAGACTCTGACTTGAGACTGAACTAAGATTTGAAAATCGTTTTAGAAACTCTTAGCTGTATGTAATATTAATATAGACTGCAACTGTGATCCATATTTAAGATTACACAATACATTTCTTGGGTTCCAGATTTGTTATTGATCAAAGTGAGAAAGGAAAAAAAAATCCTGAAATGGACTGGAAGCTAAAGAATGGAAAATGACTTTTAGGACTGATGATGGTGCTTCTACCTTCTTGCTCACCCTCATTCCTACCTCTGTCCCAATGTTTCTTCTCTATTTTTAATTTTATATTTCTGTATAAAGTCTTTTTGCAAATACATCACAGAATCAAACCAATGAAATTACCGCTCATGGATAAACCTTAATAATGAAGTGCCACTTCAAAGACAAAGCCAATGTCCTGTGAATTTGTACCTGAGCAATATTGCCACGGTGGAGGAAAGGAAGAAGAAGTGTAATGAGTAGAGAACTTTGTTCTTTGTCTCTCATGAACTTGCTGATCCTAGAGAAGGGGAAATACTGATATGTAAGGAAGATAAACAAGAGTACTCTAAAAAGTTAAACTTTTTGTAGAAAAACATGTTACAGACACAGGTGGCTTTTATGTGTTCATGTAGGAAAAGTTTAACTGACTTATTTATAGCAGTGTCCACTTTTATTTCTCCCCAACTTCAGGCTCATGGCTACTATTCTATTTCTCTTATAACATCTGATTTTGTAGGTGGGTTATAGTAAACTCCAATGCTATAATCTAACAATTAGTAATTAAAAAAATTTTTTTTAAATTATTATTTTTGTGACAATTAGTAATTTCTTATTTTACAAAGAAAACAACATTTTTTAGTGCCAAGACTTGTTTAAGGCTTTATGTACAGTATTTCAATTTAACTCCCACAATAGCCTGCAATGTAGGAATTATTTTTAGCCCCATTTTGCCCAAAGAAAACTGAGACTCAGAGAAGCTGACGTCACAAAGCTAAGAAATGGTAGAGCAGACCTTTCAAACCTTGGTCTTTCTGGTGCCTAATCTCTCATCCACTTTGCACTACCACACAGCCTGTGATAAAACTTAATGAGTGTATTTTGTGTGGTTTCCCATTCTGCATAACTTAGAAATACAATAGTATAAATAAAACTTCAAAGAAGTTCCTGAAAGATTCTAATATATCATTTTTTGTTGTTGTTGAGGTCACAGAATAAAGTACAGCTAAGTCCTGTAACAATTTAAGAGTTTAAAATGGAAACATTTTTTACACTCTGGTTTATCAACCTTGCTACAGAAATCTCAATTATATATTACTAGGTCTACTGACAAAAAGAATCTTTAAAAATCCTTGCAAGATCTTCACCTTAAAAAACAAATAAACAAAACAAACACAACCTGCTCTTTTAAATGAATTATTTTTTTATCAATTAAACTAAAAAAAATAGGAAAAATATATGATCTCATGTAACTCAAAATTATAACTGAACAAAATATATAAATCTATTAGTCAAGTTTGGAATTTTGAAGACTGTTCTCTCATAATAAAATGAAGGCAGATGCCATAAAAGTTTTCTAATGAATATTCCAGCAGAGAAACAGAATTCTACATTAACTTAAAAATGGAGGGCATTTAAAACTACTGAAAATCTTTTCAGCTTATTACCACATTAAAATAATTGAAAAACTAGATATAATTTAGCAAAAAATAAAACTACAGATAGTATTGTTATCTTTTAAGGACCAATATATCACTTACTTTGACAGAATGCCAAGTTCCTTACTGACTTGTGCCCTATTCTTCTTCTTTTTCACCTTTTCTGCACTTATTGTGGTTTTGCTGAGATACTGGAGAATTGCAGGAACATGAGGTAGAATTAATTGTCCTCCCATCGTGATAGACTCTGAAAAAAAAAAAAGTGATAAATGTTTTTATTTTAATTAACTATTTTCTTAAAGGATAATCATATACTATCTTCATAATGACAGACAAGGAGAGCACTCAATTTTCATAAAAATTTAATAAATTTCAACTCTAAAGATTAAATCACTTTTTTTTTAGTCACAATAGCTGTATTATTAGCTAAATTAAAAATTTATATCAGAGACCCCTGGGGCTGTATGTAAGCCATTTTTGGTAGTAAAAGAACTGTTAGGATAATTTGACAGGAAGAATTCAGAGACTGGCAGTGGAAGTCATTTAATAATTTCCTGATGGATAGTTGAGCTCTCTGGAGCATAATTATGAATTTCTACCAGTGGAAAGAAAATTCAATTTATAGAGAAAAGAAAGTCTTTTAATAATATAGGTAATTAAAAGAATCAACTTGTATTGACTTCTTCCTTTCTGAGGACACAAATGCTAGTTCAGAAATCTAAGAATCATTTGCTTTGTACAGCAAACATACCATCTGCACTTTCTGTGTATACGCATCCAGTTACTGGCAAGCTCAAAAGTGTTTCTGTGGGTTCAAAATCTGGAAGGTTAAGAAGGTCATCGGCTATATCCATCACAATAGAGGCTGTGGCTTCAGAGAGATTCTTTGCTGAGAGAATTGCAAAAACGTTGGTCAGAATATCACACTCCGGGTACCCAGGTTTCTGTTTAGCCAGGAAAGGAAAATATCTGCAAGGAAAAACATTGAAATTGTCATCTTATTTCTCAATATATTTATTTCTGAAAACATGCTCCATATGAATTTTCATATTGAGTTCAAATATATATGTGTATGAACATCAAAAGGGAAATTACTTTAAAATCTAAAATTTGATGGGTAATTCCAGGCACCTCAAAAGATTATGTTATTTAGGCACTTTATGTATATCTCTCATTTAATCCTCATAACATCTCTAGAATGTGGTAACATTGTCCCCACATTACAGATAAAAAAAACTAAGACGTGTCTAAAGCCTGAGTTAATTAGTAAAGCTGAGATCTGAACCACAGTCTAAGCCTTTTCTAAAAGAAGTGTATTGAAGACAGGCTATTTTTCAATTATAAGCCTTCTAGAATGTGAACATTTATACACTCACATAAAAACCAATGCACTACAACATGGGAATCAGGAGTACAGACCGAAGAAATATTTGCTGTATCAGGATATGCAACATTCAGAGATCATGATCATTTTTTGGGAGAGGTGGGTGAATCCATCCCCAAGTATGAAAGATCAAAGACTCACACAAATGATAGAAGCATCCCACCCAGAGGAAACACACCAAGAAGGGTAGAGAGCACAAAGGCTTTCCAGCCAGTGGCAAACCAACAATTGTTTTATGTCAGGGATGTAGTCCTCTTAACAATCAGCAGGAAGGTAAAACCGAAAAAATTCAGATAGTTTTACTAATTTATCATCCTTTGAAAAAGAGCTCAAGCACTTTTAATTTACTTAGTACTAACAAACTGAGGAAAAGTTCTAAGTGGTTGTTTTCATACATCTTTGTCCAACAGATATTGGGCATGGCATGGGCAGGTACCAAGCTGATGACCTTCTTAACCTTCCAGATTTTGAACCCACAGAAACACTTGTTTTTTTTTTTTAAAGGTTTTATTTATTTATTTGAGAGAGAGAGAGAATGAGAGAGAGCGAGTACATGAGACGGGGGAGGGTCAGAGGGAGAAGCAGACTCCCTGCCGAGCAGGGAGCCCGATGCGGGAC